TAAAATAAATAAAAAAAACTTTTTTTACGTGAGTTTTGAAAAAAAACGATGTATTTTATGTTTCTTAAAGTTATCATGTACCCATTCAACTTTACTGCGTTACTTAAATGTTAATAGAGTACAAGTTATTAAAATTTTATAGATTTCGGTTATTTTATTAGAATTTTATTAGAAAAAAGACGCACAAAGCCCGAAGTTAAATAAAAGTAAGTTTTACTATAGGACTATATATAATTTTGTTAAAATTATGTTGACAGCGCACCCCAATGTGACATGTCATTGCATTGAGATCATTCATGTCATTTCATGTCACTTTTCAACACTGCCAATAAGCGTTCGTTATAAATAATAAAAATAATTTTTAATATAAAATCAATTAATTTTGGATAACATTTGAAATAAACATCGTTGATTTTCAGAAAGTATAAGCTTTTGGTGCCACCGGAATGCTCATTAAAATCTAAGTTTTATTTTATTGGATTCCGTTAGGGTGATTTGGATTAAGTCTAAATCTATGGTAAATAGGTCAAGTAATTTTTCGCGAATGTTGTTGATTTCATGAAAACCAATAGCAAACAACTTGTCAAGATCGTATTCAAAAATTTCAGCAAAAGTTATTTTGTAATTTAGCATAATTTTGGTACGTGAATGCATTGCCATATTTCATTTTGCTTTTTTTGTAAATAAAAAATATGAAAGTTCCATTATTAATATATTATGTAACTTTACATAATAAAACGAATCAACGACTCTAAACTAAATCTCCCTTCATTGATTTGTTTTTGTAATATTTTGTAATCGTGAAGAAATCAATTGCGGCAATTTCAAATGTTACAAGATTTATAAAATTTTTTTCAGAAACAAGCGTTTCATGCTAAAAATTACGTACATAGACAGATAATAAAAATGGAAAAACGGACTAAGATATATAGGTCTCGTGAAAATATATATTCATTACATACGTTTCGTCAACAAATTTTTCACAAAATTGTTTTTGTATGGTATGATATAAAGAAACCTTTTTTAATCAAAATAAGCTGCTGATAAAAAACATATTGATGATACTTATGTTTTCGAAAGTGCATAAAAGATTCCTTCAGGTTATAAGAGGAAAGTTGACGAACCACCAGGAAGAAAACGATAATGGAGAGTTATCCAAGTTTTGAAAATCTTCTAAATATTGATAAAAGTATGCCGACGCAAGTCTACTCTCAAGAAGCGAACCTAAAGGTGATTATTACAATTTTATTTTCTCCTATAGTTCAATTTTAAGAAACATTTCACAGCGAATGTGGTAGAGATCTATTAAAAAACTTGTTGGAATGCAATGCAGATTTTAAATCAAAAAATTTCACAAATAAATAAGTGATTTCAAAAAATGTATTCGGATTTACATATTTTATAACGTAGAAAGGTGAACACCACTTGAAAATAAAAGCATCTAATAATTTTACGCTAGTTTACGTTATCGATATATATAAAGAATTAAATGGAGTGTTCTTTTATTGTCTATTCTTTTATTTCTTATATCGAAATAATTTTGTTTTTAGATATATTTCTAAAATATTTTCCATTATATGTAATAAAGTCATTCCATGTTAGTGGTTAAACTCCGTTATCATTCAGTGATATTTTTTGTCACAATATTAACACTCCATTTGTATCCTGATGAGATCTCTCTCATTTACTATTACTACTAGGCAATAAAGTTTACAGCTATTGTAATGCTTGGCGTTTTAAAATTGTTGCTTGATTGAAAGGTTATGTATTTATTAACTATGTATAGAAATATTTCTCCAGTTACTTTAATAAAAATGAATCAATATTACTTTATAATTTATTATTTTCGTAAATACTAGTAAAACGGGACCCGTTATGGGTATGAAACTTCGGGTTTTGCATAATGTGATAGTGTAATATGATATTTAGTAATATTTTCGTAATATTGTTATAATTGAATGCAATCCCGGCCAAAATCTCCATAATTCCGCATGAGAATCATTTTCGATATTTGCAGCTAGCCTTTTGAAGATCATTCCAGGATGGCACGATGCCAGGCTGTCAGGGCGCCAGGTTGTCAAGCTGCCAGTATGACAAAATGTTAAGAACGCCAAGTTGTCAAGGTGCCAGTATGACTGGATGTCAAGGATGCCAGACTGGCAAAATTTTTTTTTTTTTATATATATACAAGCCGGAAATCCTTAAACAGCTAAACATTCTACGCTCGCACTTGTTATATTTCTTTGCAACACCTTCGCGATATTTTCGCTTTCGCCGTTTTAACATTTTAGATTTCGCATTTGTAATTTTAATTTCCAATTTATAAGTATTTTATTATTAAAATTTTATGTATTATTTGTAACAGCGTAGTTCAAATTGATTGACTAGCATACACTTACTTTTAATATTTTGACATAGCGAAAGTGTATAGAGCCGACGTTAAGGCAACACTGAGCGAATTGATAATATTAAATAAATTTAGCGTCAATATTACTTAATTTTATTCAATTAATACCTTCTGCTTACAATATAATTGTAAACGAAAGCACTGAATACAACAATATCAAGTGTTACATTACAATATATGTAACACAATGTTACTTTGCATAAAATTCTATTGGCTTGAACAGACAGAATTCTGATATCTTATCTAGTAGTAAATAGTCCTCCGCTTAGCTTCGGAGAATTACCGATTCTAAATGTTTTTAAACAATGTATAAAATCCGTTATTAAAATGGAATGAACACGATAACCTTGCATGGATATTAAATTGGCATTTCTTTTAAAAAAAAAAAAAAACTCGACGTTGTTTGAAGAATAAAAATTTTTTATAGGTATAGAATCAATGCCAATAGTGACGACTATAAGTGGATCAAATTACATACTTTTCTAAAATACGAATTGTTAATATCAACGTCTATTTTCAATTAATTATGTTTCAAATATATAATAAGTATGTGATTTTTAGACTTGCGATTTTTTTGTTTCTCTTCCGTTTAAATAATTTTAGCAAAAAATGCCAACTTTATCAACCAAATAAATTTTTTCTCATTGTTTATAAAATAATAATTCTAATTTTTCCTCACTCTTTCCCTTCTTAGTTTACGAGAATAAGTGTTTGCTTATCAATTTATTGTTTTATTTGTTGATCGGATATAGATAAATAACGTTAAAATGGAAAAGGAAGTGATGAAAATGGTTGTTTGTTTTTGGAATATTAAGATAATTGAGATATTAAGCGATTGGAAAGAAAAAAAATGAGGATAATATAACGTTCCAACCTTTCATCGAATGTGGTTCAATTTATACTTTGAATTAGTAAAATTTTAAGCACAATAAGGCGTAAATTTTGTCACTTTTTTATATGCAATATATGGATATTATGCAAAAAAAAGTTCATTGTGTCCGCGCAAAATAATTGGAGATAAAATTATCAGACCTTAGACCTAATTAATCAAGCAACATTTTGTTCAAGGGTCTGGGGCATTGACTATTTATGAAAAAATAACCTATCAGCACCTGTTATCTTTTTTTTTCTTGTTGACCATTCGTTATCATTATCTTGCGCCATATCAGCTTTTTATTATTCCAATGTGGAGACAATGTTCGAAATATAAGGTGATGCAACTTTCTAATTTTGGTATTGCAACAGCAATACGTTTCAACTTTTTTTTACATTATTGTCAAAATTGATATTCTTTGAATGCATTACTACGCCTATCTTGTTGCTCGGTTCTCATAAATTCAATTTGATAGTGTACATGATTTTCGCCCTCAGTTAACTTCTATTAGGGTATTGCTTTTGCTATTTTACATCAATGTTTTTTATGATAACTTTATAACTTCGTTAATTTTTATTTTCCGATTATTAGATTTCGTAGTTTTAATTAATTTATTGAATTAGCGTTTAAAATTGAATTGCGAAAGTGTAGAGCGCATAAAACAATATTTACATCATAACTATTTAATTGATTATTGAACAATATTTACATCATTATTATTTACTTGCTTATTAATGGATTACCTTTTGCTTATATTTTAAATTATTTATAATGAAAGAACTGAATGCAATAAATAGGCTGATATAAATTTGTTAGTTATGCATTGCAATTAGATCAATTTCACAATAATTTGGATATAAAGGCCATGCCTTGAAAATCGCATGGCTTAGACCACATCATACAACATAGATTCAAGCAACATGGCTTGGTAACTATAAAAAAAATGATTCACTTTAAAAATGATAAATATATCAAATATGAACTTTATCATATTCGTTAACTCTTAAAATTGAATCCAATATGAATAAACTGAGTTAGTCATATCGTATCCCATATAGGTTCAAGTCCCAAAGTCAGACAAAAACCTGACCTTCTGTTAACAACATGAGTAAGATGTTCTTTGCCCCGTTTGCGTCCCGATCCATCTCCACCTTGCACGAATCACACCAGTTGTCATTGATTTGTCTGTAATTCCCACACGTCTTAGAAGTGTACTCTTCTGTACACACAATGACCTTACAATACTAGTACTCTCTTATCTTATGCAAAAGAAACATTCAAAATCTGAAATGTGACCAGCGCGAGCTGTTCTCGATCAGATCTTTCTTTTATTCTTAAGCACTATATGTGATGTTTCAAATTTAGGTAACAAAATAATCTCGTAATTCTGACATAACCATCAGGCCAACTGGTGATAGCACTCATCTATCAAATTACGAATTATTCGTTGTATGATTCGTAGCATCATTTTTTTCAATCAAAATCTCTTTCTCTTGTTTGTTCTTCCCAAAGCAAGATCCTTTTTCTCTGTAATTTGTCATATTTCTTGGACAATTTGAATACTTTGTCAATATCACCATTACCCCACTCAATTAATTAACCATCAGGATCATAACCTGTCATGAAGGTGTGAACACCTGGATCTAATGAGATTACCTTTCCACAAACATCATCTTAGTTGTCAATATTATCTAAAAGAATGGAAACACACAAGTAAAAATGTCCCAGGTGATTCATAGTAATATTTACTGTGTTATTTATCTCTGGTATCTTTCTAAAATGATTATTTTCTTTAGGAATGCATATTGTCCTCTGTTCTTATTCCAATCTATGACAAGGATCGAAATGGTTTGTGTTTGATCCTTCTTAGATCAGAACTTTATTTGTATTGTATATACTTATTAATTATCAAATCACGTACGAACGCACCTTTCTAAAAGTCTTTTTTGCCCATAAATGTTCTTCAGTTGCGAAGCACTGATCATTCAGATAGTACTTTCATATAATGCTCATGTTAGTAATCTCATTGTCTTGCATTATCTCAAGAACTTTATTGTATGTCCACCTCACAGTTTTCATCTACTTTCTTAGCTTTTCTCTTTCTTTATGCGTTGGATAAATCTGTACCTTTTGTGTTTTCAATTTCTCTTTATTATTTTGATTCTTAGCTGATCTGAGCTCATTATGTCTTGCTGTAAAGATTGTAACGATTAATAATAGATCCTTAGCAAGCTCACTGGATTTAATTTCATTAATGTTAACATCTGAACTGAGTACTATGATCTTTGTATCGTGCTTAACAAAGATCTATTCAACTAATATAAAGTGAAATAGCAGAGCCAGTCCTTGCAGGTAACCACAACTTCCTCAATATGATCATTTCAAAATGAATGTAAAATCCTTGTGTTTTTAGTTGGGACCTAACTCAATATTCTTAATAAGTTCGTGATCTAGACATTTCTGGATCTTTTTCTTTTCATTTATCCTTTGGAAATATTTCGCATGTATTTCAGATTTCTTGTATTTCTCAGTACTTTATCATTGACATTATCTCAAACATACGAAAATGAATCTTATTTATACTTGAAAAGAATATTAAATCATTGACAATGATGTAATGATGACAATTCAATATTCTTGTCATTAATAATTAGATACTTACTTTCTATTGTTAAAAATAATAAAATTATCAGTAAAATATATAGCAATATAGTAGATTTAATTATAAATATTATATTATTACTAATTGTAAACTTAGAGTTTAGAACTGATTGCATTTTTGAAAACTGAATTTAAAACAGGTGTAACTGGTTTAACCCTTTTCAAATTAGTTTTTTACAAATCATGTTGAAACTGATCTTCACAATAGGTTTTTATTAATGGAATTCTACAATGATCTATATGTGTTAGGTTGTGGCTAATTATTTATAAAATGTAATAAGAGTGAGTTTTATTCATCAATCGCATTTCTTTTTTCTTATTTATTTTTCCTTTTTAAAAAAAAGAGGGTCATCCTGTATTTTTATTGTTTATGTAAAAATATAAATGATTTTTTTGTTCAATATAAATTCATTATTCAGTGCAGTAACTTGGTCTTAACAAAAAATTAAAAAAAATTTGCTGATCGCGAAATATATATTATTCTTTTTATTTATTTATTTACTGTAGATCTCATTTACTAAATTAATTAAATTAAATTAAAATTTTTTTTTAAAAGGAAGCAAAAAAAAGTAAAAATGAAAAACTAAATATATATTGAGAGGGAGGACAAAAGTATTGCATGGTCAAATTTTATTGATTTATTTATTTTTAATAAGGCCGCAAATTTTATTTCTATATATTACATTCATTTGGAATCTAATATTTAATATATGCATCTTTGACAGTGATCACTATCTGAATTCTATTTAGCATTGATTGTATTAAATCACAATACACTTTTGGCAAAATCGCATTCTATGCTTCTTTTATAACAATTTCAAGCTCACGAATGTTTGACGGCTGAAAATTACAACCTTGAATTTTTACTTTAACTGCAGCTTACATATTCTCAATTAGGTTTAGGTTAGGACTTTGAGCAATATATAGGAGTACCTCCACATTTTAGAAAAGCAAAAACTCTCTTGCAACTTTTAACATATGAACTCGTATATTGTCCACTTGAAAAATAAATTATTTTTTTATTTTTCAGAAAAATTCCTTGAGTGTAGGAACTGCATAATTGCCAAGTACTTCTTTATATAATTTTCTAGTTAATAAACCTTCAAGTAGAACAATTGGACCTAATCATATAAAGGAAAAGCATGCTCAAAACATTCTTTGAAAAGAATGTTTTACCATCGATACAATGCAATTTTCATGAAATTCTTTTTCTGATTTTACCATACTCGTCCCTATCCAGATTTTTGAAAATGGAAAAAATGTACTCATCTGTCCAGACCACTTTTTTCTAGTCTTTTACAGTCTAATGTCTTCTTTTTATTATCGATGCAAGCCTTTTAACTTTGTTTATTGCTGAAACGAAAGATTATTTTTGAAAAATACAGGAATGCACATTTTTCTTGTAAAGTACACGATGAATTATTCTTGCAGAAATTGGTTTATTGATCTCAGCAAAAACTATATTTGTAATTACTGCTAAATTTTTCATTGTGATTCCTTATTTTTGAGAATGATAGCCTTTAATCTCTTCCTTTTTTGGTTGTCAAGGATTCAAAGTCAATCTGGTCATTTTTGAAAGTTTCTCCTGATTAATAAGTCGCAAAAAAAACATGTAATGGTTGTACAATAACAACCTACAGTTTTTGCAATTATTATATTATTGTGACCCAGTTTTTTGGCTGTAATGATGCCTCCTTTTTTGGCAGGAGTGAGTTCTTTAGCGAGACCCATGATATGCACAAAATTGAAAAATAACGAGTTTTTTGAACCTGATTTTAAGTATTGCAACACTCCAAATCAAAACAATAAACTTTCCGTTTAAGCAATTGATAACAAATATAGTATTAAAATTACATAAATTATTACATATAAAAAATTTATTATATTATCCAAATTTTGACCGTGCAATATTTTTGTCCTCCCAGTATATTATTGAAGATAATTTGATAATAAAAGGATATATAATTGTATGCTTCTTTTGGATTTTATTTTTTTTATTTTGATAAAAAATAGATAATTATGATTGTTTTTGCAAAAGAGAAAAATAAGACAAGAGATTGAGGAAATATAAAAAAAATATGTAAAAAGAAAATTATATGTACAACAAACAACGCATACCGGAATGGTAGTGTACCTTCGATAAAGTGTTTGCTATCTGCAGTCTATTTAAACAAGAAGCAAAAGATCAGTGCTTAATTTAAAAATATCAAACCGGTTTGGGCACCTGTTTTAAACGCAAACTGGTTTTCATAACATAAATCCGGGTAAAACTGAATGGTCAGAAAATCGGTTAAAACTGGATTTAAAACCGAATGGTGCAGTATATCCGGTTCCAATGAGGTATCTTTGCTTTTGAATTTGAAATATCTATTCTTGACTATTGAGCTGTAACTTTTTATACTTTTTCTCAAAGTTAAATCGAATTACTAATAAACCAAGGATACCTAAAGAAATTTGATTACATTTTTCAAAATTTAAGATTTTATGTAAAGAAATAATTCTACTTCTTAGACGTAAACTGAGAGCCACTATCATCGTTGCTTTTAAGGACAAGTAAACAGTACATCATTCATTAAACAAGTTTCCAGCTTTGTTTAAAAATTTGTCATAGAGTATGTTTAAATAGCTTTCTTTTTAAAAAAAAATTTTCTATCAGTTTTCTTGAATTTAAAAGTTCATTTTCTTCCATGAGTTTATAAATAAATAAGAAAAAATCGTCAGATAGTTCATTTTTTATACGATTATTTTATCTTGAACAAATTGAACAAATGAAATAATTAAAGCTTAAAGATGCTACTACGTATTTAAAATGCAGTTAATCTTACGATCTTATTTTACAAAAAAAAACAAGAAAAAAGATTAAATATAGATCTTCCGATCAGCGTTATGTCATAGGATTCTAATAACGAAACTATTTGCCGACTCTCAAAAAGATTTTTGATACGACCAATCACTTTGGATATCATTATAAAGAATCTTAAACAAGTAAATGAATATTACAAATACTATGAACTGTTACCGTTATTATCATATTTGAATTTTTTTCTTGTTTTATTAAAATAAATAATTTTATCCTGAGCTTTCGCTTCTAACATATTCGGATAACAAGTATTTTAATGCTTTTGAATAGATTATCACTTTGAAATAGTCCGCGGCAAAACATTTTACAAAAACTGAAATAGAAATAATGGTGAGGTTTTTTTAATTTTTTTCGATCAAATCTCCGGCATGTACTGTTATCTAAATATAAAATCAGATGATTCTTACTAACTGAGTGTATAATACAGATTAAGATCAATTTTACAGATTATTATCAAAAAAATGAGTTTATATTTATTATCACTTTTACCTTCGTTGGAATAAATTAAAATTCTTTATTTGCAATTACGATTCTTTATGATTCTGATATTTCATATGATAAATCCATTTACACAGTAAAGAATATAAAAAATTTCAATATTCTTTTTCGCATAGGAAAAAGTCTTTATGTGACACTCTCAATTGGTTTTAGTTTTTCTTAACCAGTAATAGTTATAAGGAAAAAGGAATAATATTATTCCTGTTGAAAGAACAATGCATAAAAGCTTAAAGCTTTTCATCTTACATAAATATATATAATATATTCTAATAATAAATACAAGTCTAAGCTCCAATAAAGGTAGAAAATTAATTTAACTAAATATTGAATTACTTGGCTTGGTTAGTATAATACTTTCAAAATCGCAGATCATATTTATTTTAAGTCAATTATCATTAACACGCACGTCACGTCTTTTAATAAGCATTTAAGCACAGCGTTAGTGAGTCAGGGATACCAACTAAACCCGGAAGTTCATTCAGGATTAAAACAAAGGACTTTCAGAAAAGTAAAAAAGGAGAAATCAAAATTAATAGTGATGCAAATAAGACTTAGTTTTGATAGAAAAAAAAAGGTCCAATGACGTTGAACATGGAGTTTATCTTAGGATCAGATCGTTCTAATATATCAAAAAAGTATTATTAACTTCTAGTCAGAATGAACGTTTCGGATAATGTCCAAAATTCTCATTTCGGATATCAAACGCAATTGGGCTATAACATAGCTACAAAAATAAAATAAGAAATACGGGCTAAAATTACGGATCACGTGGGTAGAAACTTCGTGGATAAAAATTAATCTAAAATGGAAACTAATTTATCCTTAAAGTTACTATCCACGTGATCCGTAAATTAGCCCGTAATTTCAAATGGCTCAAACTTGGAACTTTATTTATATTAAGCAAAGTTGCACTTAAGTTGCTGCAAAATTGAACTCATCTCTCAATATCCTTCCCTCCGAATTTGCTAAAAAATCCTTTTATCAACATTATTACGCAAGATGATGCTAAATTTTAACCGGTTATTTAACCAGTTTAGGTCAGAAATTTTGCTGTCCTTACTTAAAATATCATGAAATAAATTATAGAAATATTATTCATAATTTAATAAAAGTTCAAGTGAATTAGTCAACATCATTTAAGGGAAATTATTTATTTTTTTTTTGAGCGAATAATAAACTTTTCCACTCATATGTGAAACCGCTGTATATGGAAGTGATAATTAAGATAACTGTTTTTAATTCAACAATCGATCGATCGAAAATTGTCAGTTATGCATTGTGGTTTGTTCTATTCCAAATTAATTTATAATTAGTATGATATTTTCTTATTTACTGTAAAAAAAAAAAAAAAGATTTTATATGACGGATAATTCTTTAATAGGTAAAAATTCCAAAGTGAATGTATGTCCGTGAATTGAAGGTTCAATGAACTACGCATTTAGGAATTTTTCCTTAAAGAATTTTCGTTAATGCTTGGCAAATATTCAAATGCGGCAAAGTCATTTATTATTACTTAATTATTAGTAAATCAAAGATAATTTTGGTAATTCAATACGAGAATCACAAGGACATTAAAAGGTTTTGGTTAATTAATCTTAAATAGTAATTAAAATTTACCATAAACGTCAAACGAATGAAATATTACTTAGTCGTTGTCATATGCTATGATATGATTAATGTATAAAACGTATATCAATGCCACAAACACACAAACACACTAACGCCACAAAAGCCAAAGTCACCAATGTTAATGCCGCCAATGTAATGTCAAAGCCATATCCGACAAAATCTATCTTGAATTTATGTTGTCTATCAAAATTTAGTTCTAACAAAAAGAGAAAACATCTAAATCTCTACTAAAATTTACAACTTAATTATGCAAACTCCCTTATTCAAACTAAATCAAATTCTTTAATATAACCAAAAAAAATATTATTAAATGGTGGTGGCTTATGAAATAAAAGAAGAAACCTTTTATTTGTCAACGTTGTGAAATGTAGAGCTGCGCCGACCATAGATACGTGTAACTGACAAACGCGTCAGATAAAGTTTGTTTATTATATATTTTTTTTAAAATTACAAAATTACTAACAAATCCTTTAAGGGATATTGGAACTCCTAAGGTTGATGTGAGATAATAAAGAAATCATGACGCATCATCGACATAATAATTAATCTAAAAACGAACCATATGAGGAAGTTTTTAACAGTTTCTCAACGAAATCAATTCACAACTTTAGTAAATAGTAAATAATAATAAATCGAAAATATATGTCGCATGATAAGCAACGTAAACAAAGCCAATAGGATATCTTCAATATAAATATCTCGCTTCATACACCGACTCCCTTAAAGATTTGTGTTTTAAAAACATAAGCCTTCATTATAATTTTAATTATTTCACATGACTGTCACCCTTACATAGTTCTACAGTTGCTTCCTTTACAATCTAATTATACCCCATTTTCGACATATTTTCTTTACATTCAGACATTAGTTTACTAAATACTTTCTTTTATTAATTTAAATTTGGATTTTGTATAAATATTCGCCAATATAAAAAAAAATCGAATCTTTAAATGAGGTCTTTAGCCATTGTTTAATTCAATTCAAATCTCTATGACTTATAATCATATATTATTAATTATCAAAGCAAATTTTGCTAATTTTAAAAAATAAATGAAAATAAAAATAAAGCGTCATTGGTGTAAAATGTTGCATTTTATCTCTTCATATCCGGGAATATGTATATGTAAGGTGAAAGAAAGGTGTATTTTGTAAATAATATTTCGGCAGCCAGCCACCATCTTAATCTAATTATGTTACGCATTATGGCTTGTAAGTCTTGATAGGGTTTTAAGGGTTTATAAAGTTTTCTCATTTGTAATGAATCGAATATATAAAAATATGAAGTTCTTTACTTTCTAATTTGATAGTTAAAGATGGTCGACGAGATGTTAACTAATTGAGTTTATAACAATATTTGTGAAATCATTTGTCTAATCTCTCAAATAAGAGGAATCAAGGAATGATAGGGTTTAGAGAATAATGATATGAATGGTCTAATTCTAATGAAAAACATTTATAGGAATAAATATCGTGGGAATTTAAATTGTGTGAAAATTAAAATTGACATTTTTGATATGTAATAAACGGAATCAAAGGGTAGTTGAAATAAATGATCAGAAAATGCTGAACAGGGAGTGAGGTTTACAAGAAAATTTTTCATCAAAGAAAACTTGATCCGTGAAAAAACATGTCCTCAAATTCATTATTGGTTTCCTGTTGTTCGGGTATTTGAGAAATCCTATAAAGTGTATCCCTACGAGACGTATAGTTTGGATTCATGCTATTTACACGATTTGCTAAAGTTGTGAATTGATTTCGCTGAGAAATTGGCAAAAGCTGCCAAAAATGGTTCGTCGCTAGATTAATTATATGTCGTTGAATAATCCGTAATCTATTGGCTTCAAGGATCACATTTCTTTTCAATAATTTTATACCCGTCATTCTACGATAAATTCTGCCGGGTAACGCTTGAGTAATAAGGCGCCGCACATAATTCATATCGGGGACAGTAATTCTATCATAATTTGCTCGCCTTAAAAAAGAATTTAGTTGTTGGCTATTCATTTTTTAGAAAAGAAATGTAGTGTTGAAAAGGTTCAAGAACTTTCGTGTCGTTTTTATAATACTCACTCTGTGCAACTTATGCATGGCTGAGATTATGTTACGTTTACATCACATAATGTCATTTTCTAAATACGTTACATGGCAAAGTATTTCTTATGATTTCGATACAAATTGCATGATTCTTTACTCGCTTAAAAAAAAAAGAATCTGAATAAACATGTGAATTAGCATTTATTAGTATTAAAAAAAAAATAATGTAACATGATAAGCTTTTAATTACGCCAGCATGGAATATGCCCGGATCATGTAGCGCCAGGGAGTAGATATCGTCAATGATTCAACTTACAGTAATCTTCCAAGTTTTATAAGGAATCCCCTGAAAGATATCATGTTGTTGCTGTTGAACAATTCCTTTTATGATTTTGTACTAATATTAATAAGGAAAATTGAAAAGTAAAAAATGCTCGAATCATATTTATATTACAAAATAAAATTCGACTCACTTTGTGATCAAATTCAATCTACTTTTGAATATTGAACCACGTTAAATGATCGGGTTTAATATGATGTAACTAAATCTTAAGATTTAGCCAAGCCATATTTCATTGCTTCTTCATATGATTTCATTATCATAAATTATGTTGTAAAAAAAAAAAAAAAAGAGATGAGATTGACTTACGTGTGAAATTTCATTTCCGGTCGGTTAACCTGACACAATATACGCCTAATAACACGCACAAGTATTTTCTTTGTTTCGTATTTGTATTACAAAACATCATTTCTGAATAATAAAAAATACCATTACTTAATATGCATGCAGGAGCCAAAAAGTCATTATTTCATTTATTTATCGAGGTAATAATCTATGGCGCGGATCACCAACCAAGCCCCTTAAAATAAGTTTAAATAAGTACTTATTGTGATCATCGCTTTGTTAACTTTCTAAAAATGAATTTACCGTCATCCATGCCCGGGTGTTCGACCGGCGCGGATCACTTCTATAATTAGTAAGTAATTTACTATCGTCTTTTATTTTCAAAAATTTTTAATTGATGGAAAAGTCATTTCGTCATTTTAAATGAAGTTTATAATTAAATCTTAATCAAATCAGTATTGTGAATTTGAATTATCTAAAAAAAAAATAAATGAAAATAAAAAAAATATACTTTACGTCATCGTTACACAATCAATCAATAATTTATTTTCACTACGAAAACAAAATTCTTTGGAGGCGCAGATATTTAAACATATCGCGACTGGACCTAATTTCACAAAATGAGATCAACTCTGACAGTGGATATCACGGAATATCTTTCTTCGCATATTTGTTTTGAATTTGCAATTAATCCACTTGTTAAATTTCAATAAAATTTAATCGACTTTCGCATTACCAAGAAGAGTTTAAGATGTCTGGATATTTAAATGTAATAATGTCATAATTAAAATACAACTGAAAACTAAATTGATATTAATTCTTGAATTTTAGCTAATTCGAGGAAGATTCCTGCTGAGAAGCGTAAGTACGATAATTAAGCGTCACCGAAGCAACTTGTTTAATGAAAAATTTACTGAGTATGAGATGTATTAAAGTTAATGGCGCTTATTAAATTATTCCATTTAATGATCAAAAAAAAAAAAAAATCTGACAATCAAATATTTATGGCCAATCAATGTGAATGTAACGATAATTATAACAAGCTATTAATTTAATTTTATTAAAAAAAATGATTTTGAGTAAGAAAAACTTCCTAAGTACTTACAATTCAGCAGCTGCCGATTCTAAAGAAATTGAATGTGATGACTTTTAAAAATGCAATGCCTGCCTCGTTTTTTTTTTATTTTTATTTTATTTTTTTTTTTTTTGGATACCGGTAAAGAAAACAAATATTTATATTCTATCGAAATGGAAAACTTTTTGTTTTTTTTAAAAAAAGATAATTACGGAAATACGGAATAAATTAACAAGAATCAGGTTATTGAATAAAATATACATAAATTTCAATAGGAAATGTCTTACAAGTCAAATTTTAATTTAGCGATCGCAGCAATGATCTGATAATACAATACTTTTTTTTGGCAGTACCCTATGTTACATGTAACGACAACTTGAAAGAGAAATATATTACACAAAATATGTCATACAAAAAAAAAATTTCCGTTAATTATCATACATGAAGTTCTTTCATCAAAAGTTCAATGTTTTATTTACATATTCGATTGATTGTGTATTGACCATTTCAAATAACGAACAAACCAATGAAATATTCATTGTTTCATTCATTTTTTTCTTTGTTTGATAAACAAAAACGGCAAAATTGTTTATTTTATTTATTTTTTTCTTTGAATAATGTGAAAGATAAATTGTCCAACCTTTATAATAAACAATAAAATAATACATGTAAAATTTTTCTTCGGCAAATCCTCATTGGGAATGAATAATGGAAATTAAATAAGATCTATCATCAAATATAAGATGTTCGTCGATAATGAATGACCAATTATATTTCCTTTTTCGTTCAAAAAGCTTGTATTCCAAATGGAGGTACCGCTTCAAAGAGCTTTATTTTTATTACCCTATTACTTTCATAGAAGTTCTTCAATGATTAATTTAACATTTAAAGTTCAATTAATTAAAAAATAATTTCAATATTACACACACATTATATTATAAAAGATTGAAGAATTTTACTCTCCATAGAAATACATGATTTTTGTTTGAGTTTGAACCTTCTCCATTACCATGTGCTTATCATATGAAATTTTTTACATTCCTCATTCAATATCGTTTATGAGAAACACCACATCCTAGTGGATGATAATATTTACAAAATCTTCTTTCAAAGCTTTGAAATATTACATAAGCTGTAAGAAAGGTTCTTGAACTTGCGCTTTTCGGCGCCACTTAAACAACCTTCTTAAAATATCTTTTTATTTTGATATGATAGGATGAAAAGTAAATAATATAAAACCATTAAACTTTCCATATAATCATTTTGACTTGTAAAAAATTTCCAATTAAATTTATTAATATACCGTATTTCTACATAGCCATGTATTCTCGTTAATTTCATTCCAAGTATTGACAGATTTGGAATAATTGTCTTTTTCATACTGTAGTTAAAAAAAAAATGTATATAATTAATTCACATTTCGATAGAATAGAGAAAATATTTTCTTTAATGCTTAAAAAAACGAGGCGTAGCAATTTTATTGTTTATTATTTAGACACAACTATTGTTATCGTTACATCCACATTTAATGATAATTTGACAATTGATGATGAATTAAACACTTTATAGCGTTTAAGTTACAAAGTGAGTACATTTGTGACTTCACTCATTGTCAGTCAAAATAATTTAGTTGTAATTATTTTTTAAATGCAAGGCAAGGAAGTTTTTTTCTTGGAATTTCATTAAATTCTTCAAAATTTCGTTCAACTTGTAACTAGTAAAAAGAAATTGTACTAAATCATGATTTAATTTATCGCTTGACACATAGTTTAATATTGTATATTCCATATGGAGTAGATTCTCCTATAATTCAATTCAATATTCTTATTTTTGTTTTAACTTATATAATAATCTGACTTTCAGTTATTTAAACAAACTTATTTTCCAATACAACACAAAAATTCTGATTTCAAGTGA